TGAGGAAGGTGAGGAAGGTGAGGAAGGTGAGGAAGGTGAGGAAGGTGAGGAAGGTGAGGAAGGTGAGGAAGGTGAGGAAGGTGAGGAAGGTGAGGAAGGTGAGGAAGGTGAGGAAGGTGAGGAAGGTGAGGAAGGTGAGGAAGGTGAGGAAGGCGAGGGAGGCAATGAGGACAAAGAAGGCAATGAGGATGAGGAGGGCGAGGAAGATGATAAAGATGAGGATGAGCTGGGCAATCAAAACACTGGAGAAGATCTCGACTGCAAGGGAAGCGATCCAGAGGACGACCACAACGGTTTGGAGGATGCAGATGACAGCTTTGAGGCCCTTGGGCAGGCACTTTACACTGCAATGGGTGAAGAGTTCAATTTCTCAAACACTGAAGACCTTGAAGTCCACCACAATCGTGTCCCATCCATCTTTGACGACCACCCTATCATTCGTGGTATCTACATCGAAGCATTCATCTCGGTAGCGTTCCACGGCTCCACCCACGAAGCTGTCAACCTCAGTCTCAAGGCTCATCACCGCCATCTAGATGGTCTCCGCAGGCAACATCCCAAGCTCATTTTCCCTGGCCTCGATGACTGGGCATTCACCTTCCCTACTGTTCTCAAGTGCCTCGGGCTCTCCACAACCAACTTTATCATGTATCTCACCGTCTGTGACCACTGCTGGACCGTCCGTCTTCCATCCACTCTCAATGACCTCCCATACCCTCATTGTCCTGCCGAGGATTGCCCTGGCCTCATCTTTCAAGAGAAGTGAATGGCTGATGGCTCTTGCAAGCATACACCAACAAAGCTCATGCCATATGTTCCCCTGGAGCGTGCTCTGCAGCGCCTGCTGCTATGCGCTATGATTACAAGCTGAGTCTCTGCCATTGGTGCCCACATGAACAGCGCCTGGTCTCCCAAATCTAGTTGAGACCATGCATTATTGGCCCTGACAGGCATGTAACATAAGAACAGGAGCTGCAGCAGCCTGAACAACCTCTTGTCCTCTCCTAACTCTTGGGGCTGACATGAGGGCAATGTCCCCCTGATCAGCAAGATGCAGCAGAGGCAGTGGGTTGCTACCGATACTGCAGCTGGATATTCTTGGATTGTAGATGGGTTAGAGCATAGTTGGGGCATAGATTGTGGACAGTGCATACTACTCTCAATAACAAAAGTATGTCAATTTCTGCTGTAAATCATCCCTGTCACCGTAAACATACAGTAAACTGTCAACCAACCATGGTCAAACCTCTGCATGCACCATCCATAGCTCGTGAGCTTTGAGCATGTTGTGCCATCCTCACGTTTGCATGTGGGGCCCTCTGTCCATGCAGAGATGAGTGCCTTGATGAATGTGCTGTATAGCACAGATGTGTAGTGCTCGTCAACGGAGACACTCTTGAGCGTCGCAGTGATGTCCTTGACAAGGTTGATGATCTTCTGCTTGCCTTCAATGAACATCTGAAACTTGGGCCAGATGAACTACACACCATTGTGGTCAGCTGTGTGTGGAGAGTATAATGCCTTGTATGGAAGACAAATGCACCTTGAGCAGACTCAGCACCACATACAACAGGAACATGGAATACAAGTCCAGCAAACACCAGAGGTACCCCATCAGCCCTAATATATTGTGTGCAACAACTGTGACAGCTGTAGCAGCACCATAGCACCACACAAAGAAGTGTCCAATGTTCACCACTGAGTGGTCGATTGCATTCTGCAAACTGAAGGAATTGATGATGAGCATACAGTCTTTGCTTTTCCCACTTCTCTTCCCTATCTTTTCTGTCCATCCACATTCTGCTTCCATCCTTCATTATTGATTATTATGGTCCAGAATACGGCATACTGACAATGTGGTGCATGCAGACAATGTCATCAAGCAACTTGTCCCCCTTGATATGCTCATCGGGATGCAGACAAAGCTTGGGTTCTTGGTGTGGGCCTTGGTTCCTGTTTGGAGGTGATCAGCAGGCGAGCAATGGTAGCTTTACAAGCTTCCAGCAGTTGACATTATAGAGCATGAGCACACGGACCGTCAATGGCATGACACACATAGTGCACACCTGTCAAGATGCAGAGGTATGTCCTCCAATTATAAGGATTGCTTTCACAGAATGTGGGACTAATATATATTGATAACAGGGTAATGAACATGTCACACACACTTACCCAGACAGCACCAAAAAGTGAACCATCAATGGCATCAAGCAGTCGTCTTCCTCATCTAGTAGAGGCCACATTGGTGCCCAACCTTTCTCACTTTTCATGTTACTCAGATGTCTGTACCTACTCCTGTATCTTTGAGATTGCACCCTGGTGTTTCATATGTATCTTAAATACCGCAATTCCACACTTCCCCAATCTCAAGCTGATATTGACATCAAGTACCTTCTCAATAATAATAAGCACACACATTCCAAAAACTGACCATGCAAATCATTGGGCAAGGATTGTGAAAGTGTTGTATTACACTCAAAAAAGGGAGTTAAACTGGAATATAGCTAAGTATCAAAGCACATAAATTGACTAAAGTGATGGAGAAAAGCAAAGAGCAAGTGTTGCGCAAAAGTCAAAAGTCAAAATTGGAAGGCACAAAAAGTGAAGAGCAGTGACTAGTAGTGCAAACCACAGGGCTGAAGTTCATCATGTCTAAACCATCAATTTACAAGATGCATCCAGTACAATGGAGTATCAAAACTTAGTACCCTCCCTGCACACTTGAGATCGTGTGCTGGTGCTGCAGCTACAATGAAGCCATCCGTATCAGTGGCATCATCAATGGGCGCGGAGGTGACTGGGGAATGCGGGCTTGATGCTGCATTGGTGGAAGTGCTTGTACTCCTAGAAAAAAGGTGTAAGATCAGAACTGATCCATCTATTTTTGCGCAAGTGAGTTTTAGGTTTTGTGATTTGGGAAAAGGCAGTAGTGCTGATTTGGGGATTAGTGTGCACAATATCAATTGGTATTATGTCAGGGATGCTGTTCTGGTGTTCCTGACTATCCTGTTCATCCTGTTGTTGTACAAGTGAGGGACACCAACCTCTAAGCCTGCCATTGTTTCTGATGTTTACTTTCAGCATCACCTATGGTGTTGTTGTCAGTGTGTTCACGTACATGTACATTGTGCCAATGCCAGCGTCCTCCACTTCCAGGTTGGCTGGGCCGGGCTCATTGTTTGTCTCAGGTGCAATGTTGCCTGTGAGCAGGGGCATACCAAGAAGGATGATAATCAAGTTTGGAGGCAAGGATGCCATGCACTTGTACCTGTTATGGTATCATGTTATAGTAAAGGCAAAGGTCTTCTGGGTCATATAAATGGTTATTTGCATGCCACCATACAATTAATTAGTGCGAATGTTTGGCACCATGGTCTCCAGCCTGTCATTCTCTAACTCATCTACTGTTGAGAACAACCCCATCATCTTCTTCCACCTTATTCCTGGTGGTCCCACAACCTCTGCCTGATGAGCATGATCAACAGGACAGCACCCAAACTCTGCTCATTGCATCAAAGCTCTTGAGCAGTATTGCGTGAAGGACACTTGTGTTTCTCCTTCTTGGATAGGGTGTTGCTATGGTTGATAATGCTGGAAGGGATAAAGATCACTGATCCAGGAAAAAAACCTAATGACAAGTCAGAATTCATAAAGAATTAGGTGTCCCCCTTTGTCAGGGTCAAAATTACTGCCCACCCATATTGCACACCATCCATGTGCTAAGTCTGCGGGTTCACAGTGCCTGCAACAAACAACCAACATTGAAGGTAATTGCAGGATACACAAAAGGGAGTATACGTGTGAGGGCAGGGTTTTGGGCATGAATTGCACGAAGGTGCTGTTCTTGATATCTAAAAAGCTTGGGTGCGTAGCGCCAAGGAACACCTGCCATATGCTCACAAACATGCAGCAAGAAAATGAGATTAACTCACTATTAATGAAGCCTACCACCCAACAAATTCCTTTATGTTTGAGAAGTTTTCTTGCTATCACCCTCCTGCTTCTTGCAAATTGATGTGGCATCTACGTGGAGGCTGAGTATATCACGTAAGAGTATAGATAGTATTATACTGTACCATGGACCCATGGCCATGTGATAGGCCAGCAGTTACTGATTTTGTGGGCACCACATAGAGTTTGATGCCTTTCTTGGCAGCTGTTTTGCTATTTTCACCTCCACACTTGTAGCCAGCTTTTTTTTCTGCTGCTTGAAATTCTTGCATGATGTTGCTGACAAGTTGTTGTCTATGATGTGGTCACCGTTCACTGTCTTCTTGGTAATGGCTCCACTGCACATGCCAATCACACACCGGTTTGCATTGCACAGCAGTGTAGGTCTCCTGATAATTATCAGTAACAAATATATATCTCAGAGCATTGAAAATACATACATGCCATTCCAATCATAATGACAAAAGCCATTGCCTTTCAACTTGTCAAGTCCAACAGCCCTGTCACTGTACTTACCTCTATCATCTTTTGTACAAAATGTTATCACAATACAGTTAATATATTGACAGGGCCAAGAGAAAGTTTATTGTTATGATATTGATTCTATCAAATTTTGTAGATCTAAAAATATTTTGGAAATAGCATATCATGATCAATGTTTTACGTATTGACATTAGCAATAGAGGAGGTCAGAGGTGTTGGGATTTATGAAAGTATGCTACAGCTTAATCTGAGCTTATAGATTAATATTTTATATGTTAAAGTTAAGCATCAAAGTAATGAGCTATGAATAATGCATGGGTAAAATGATTGCTTGATCAATACACCAATAACTCTACACCATTGCACTATCTACTATTCTGCCATTCTCATTGCACTGATCTCATTCTATTCTCATTCTATTCTTGTTTCCATTCTGCCATTCTCATTCTATCAATCTCATTCTATTCTCATTCTGCCATTTTTGAAGGAGAGCAAGCGGAGGGGCGAGAGCACAATAAAACAAGTGATTTGAGGCGTCGAGATGACAACTAGTAGGTCTAGTGTACGAGAATAAACTATGGGTATCAAGTACGAGCAGTGGCTGATGTACTACGTAGTTAGATGGAATCTTGCAACGTAATCATGTGACAGCACCTTGGGCGTGTCACTTTACAACATGCCCACTCAGCGCAAAGATGACGGAGACAGAAATAGAAATAAAAACAGATAACGTAAAAATAAATGCGCCCACTGAAACAGCAAACAAAGAGGAAAATAACATGAGATAAGAAAATGCACAAATATATACAATAACACAGATCCACTACAATCCAGCAAACAACCAACCCTCTGAGCACCTGACGGCCCGTACTTGCTTGTTGACCTGGCCTTGTGGCGACGACTGGTATATTCCGATGAGACTGACCCCCCGACTGCACGTTGGTACTTGCCACGAAACTTGGCCTCCCAGGGACAACCTAAAAAACACTTAAAAAAGAAACGGGGATGGAAAGGGGTATCACAAGTGAGCAACAGAGATGCTCAGAATAGCTGGAGCGGGGGAGGCGACTCTACTACTGCAAGTTTGGCCACATGAGGCCCAGAGGACAAGGATGAGGCAGCTGACACAGAATGAGATCAATGGAATGAAAATGGCAGAACAAAAACACCAATGGAATAAGAGTGGCGGAATGAATGGAATGAGAATGGCAGAATGAGAATAGAATGAGATGAATAAGAATAGAGTGAGATTGATGGAATGAGATTGATGGAATAAGAATGGCAGAATAGTAGATAGTGCAATGGTGTAGAGTTATTGGTGTATTGATCAAGCAATCATTTTACCCATGCATTATTCATAGCTCATTACTTTGATGCTTAACTTTAACATATAAAATATTAATCTATAAGCTCAGATTAAGCTGTAGCATACTTTCATAAATCCCAACACCTCTGACCTCCTCTATTGCTAATGTCAATACGTAAAACATTGATCATGATATGCTATTTCCAAAATATTTTTAGATCTACAAAATTTGATAGAATCAATATCATAACAATAAACTTTCTCTTGGCCCTGTCAATATATTAACTGTATTGTGATCACATTTTGTACAAAACATAATGTTGTGTTAATGTACTGCCACAACCAGAACATGAGTGATATATTATGCATTGCATTTGTCTGAAGTACAAATATTGAGTACAAATACTGTACTTTTACGACCAGATGTTCAATGGTCAAGAGCATTACAGTGTTACATGTTCAATAGTCGAGTCTTTGAATTGTTCAAATGGCCGGGTTACGCGTTACACATTGTTCAACTGCCACCCGAGGCTCTCGGACCCTTGACCTTGCCCGCACGTTACAGCATTGTAAATCCATCACTATTGACCACCCTGAGCATCAGACACTGCCTGACCACCCTGAGCATCAGACACTGCCTGAGCACACGCGTTGCTTCAGGCATTGTCATAAACGCCCCTAGGACGCTCCTGCAAGTACCATGGCAATGTTTTAGAAAATATGTATCATACAACTTTTGCTCCATCATCCATTCAGACCCGGCTTTGTGGCCTTATATTTTGTTTCAGGCATGTCTCCATCGTATGACTTTACTCCACTGTTGGGTCAGGCTTGGGCTTGTGGCTTTGATGTCTTTTCTTGTATGCTGTAGGTTGCCAAGGGTGCAATTTTTGAGGTCGTCAAGCTATTGATGAGGACAATGAGGAGGACAGAGGTTGTGCGTATAAAAGAGCAAGACAGTGGCTAGTGGAAGACAGTATCAGCATGGCAAAGCCTACGGTATGCAAAGCTGCTCTAGGCAGACCCGACTACACACTTTGCGGTAGGGATTCCCTAGTCCTTTCAAATCTCTTTCTGATTCCCCCGTAGCTCGATTGTCAGCCTTTTTCAGCTTTACAACAGACCAGAGCAGCAGCTTGTCACTACTTCTCAGTGCATGGTGATATCTCTTCTATTTTGAAGTTGTTTCTAACCATGCCTACATTTCTTGAGTTTTCTTCTTGTGCTCCGTGGTCTTCTCCTCAGCATCTTCTTCCCTGTAAAGCTCCTACTGTGTAACTACCAGAGGACATTTTTTATCCTTGCTAGCCTTAGTGCTGTGCAAGCAACGCATAACCAGCCTAAAAACTTGTCTCAATCAGTCTCGTCATCTCAGTCATCTGGCTCTCATGCTCCAGCCTGTGCCCACCCATTTCTTCAGCAGACTCTTCGTGAGGGTCATTATTCAATTGAAGCAGACACCTACCACCATGAAGTTTTACTCACAAACTTGCTCCTTGGCCAAATGCCTAGTCAAGGCCCAGTTGGCAGCTTTGGGTGTGCTGTTCATTTGGGATATGATGACTTGCTTGAATTCCTCTCTCACAGTTGGCTCGATGATATGATGCTAAATGCAGGGCTTGAATGGCTGGTTTGCAATATCAACCCACAGTCAAATGTTGGCATCACAAACTCGTATCTTGTTCCATATCTCCGAGCAGTACACTCACGCGCAGATGGCCAACCTTACATCCCCTGAGCATCGCAGCTAGCATCAGACATCCAATCTGGTCATGTTCAAGTTCTTGAGGTCCCTATACATGAGAATGGTAAGCACTGGACTGGAATCCAGATTTATTTACAGATGTTCACATACACCTACCGCAATGGTCTAGATGGAGATGCAACTGCTCCAACACAGGATGTTGAGGTCCTTCAATGGTATCTGACTTCCCTTCTCCCACATATGTCAGGAACTCCTCTGGTTCCTCGAGCTGATGTCGACTGTCCTGAGACACCCAAGCAACAAGATAGCTCTTCTTGCGGGATTCTCTATCTGTCAACATTGTCACATGAGCTTCTTGGCGACAGCCTTTGGAGCCAGTCGACTGCAGATCTTTGGCGTGTTTGATGGTTTAACAGGCTCACATTGATTGGGTATCAAGCAATGGTATGTCTAAAATCAACGTCATGTTCCTGATTACCAACCCTGAAACACCACATCATTCTCACAGGAATTCAGTTCTGACGTCAGCTCTCATGACGGTGCTACCTTGGATACCATTGACTTCGATGCAACACCTCTTCCTGATTCCACCAGTCCTGCTACATCCCTATCTCCGAGCTCGTTGTATGCAAACCATTCAGAAATCTTACCACCAAGACTACTCCGGGCTCAGCGCAAGCTGACTTCACAAGCTGACAGTGACAGTGACTTTTTTTTTCGAAGTTGAAGCCCTCGAACAACAATGCAGACTCTGACTTTTCTGACGATCCCTCTGACTCAGAGCCACCATCACATACCCCTACCTTTCATTCTCAGAAGTGTTCTCGTGTTGACTCAGTTCCAATTGACCCAGGGCCCAGCCAATGTTTGACAGCATGGTTCCAGCCTATCAGCCATGAAGAGAAAGAGGTTGAGCGATTGAAGACTAAGGCTACATGGATAGAGCAAGCAGCAAAGCGTCTTCGACAAGAAGCAGAGCAGCAGGAATTGAAAGAGCTCCAAGAGAAGGAGCGGAAACGTGCACAAGTGGCGGAACATGTGCGCCAATTCTGTCTCCGTGAGCAGGCTAAAAAGGTGTGTCCATCTCAGTAAGAGATCTTTGCTGAAAGCTCACAACAATTCAAGAACATGACACAACCTACTGTAAATGATGTTTTGTGAGCTGGCAATTTACCTCAACAGCCGGGTTACCAATATGGTACAACTGCAGAGCAATCACATCCCTACTGCTCATTCAAAATTGATCAGTGGGTGCACCAAGACAAGCGAGGGTGCAAACATACACGCCCTGATACCACAGCAAAAAAAGTGAACTGGCTGAATGGTTTGCTCTTCGAGCAGATGGCCTCTGCTGCTCGTGCTGCTGGCCCGTTGATGCGTGTTGAAGAGATCCTCAAGATTCTTCGGCACCGAAACCCAACAGACTTTGCACACCTCCATTCTCAAGTCCTTCGTAGGTACATTGAAGGCAGTGGCAAGTCCAGTGCCCACTGGAAGCCATGGGTCTTGGTGGAAGTCCAAAACCGGGCAGGATTTCGGCCAGAATCAAAGTCTACTGCAAGTGGAATCTTGGTGCATAATTCTTGCTTCATTGTGTTCAAACTCAGCTGACTGATGCTCGATGACAGAACACCTATCCCAATCTAGTCCAGCAAATTGTAGATCAACTCCTTGCAATTAGGTGTGCCAGTGTTGCTGTTTCTGTGGACAGCGCGTGAGGCATCATGCTCGGGAATATTATGCACAAGGCGCCAGAACTCCTCAAAACAACAGCGTGTCAGGATGGTAGCATGTTCAAGTGTTCCGATGCATATGTTTGCAAGTTCCTTTATGCAAATTTACATTGGGTTCCACGCACATCAACCCGAGCAGCACAGAAGGTTCCCGAGAATGCGGGGGATCTCATTTTTGAGCTTTTCATCCGCCTTGCCCTCCTTTTTCGAGATGCTGGCATCCGTCACCCTTCGCTCTACATCAATTTTGATCAAACACAGGTCATTGTTGCCAATCCATCCACATGAACATTTGAGATTGAAGGTACATGGCAAGTCAGTACTGTTAACCGTGACGAGAAGTGTGCATGGACATCAGTTGTTGGTGTTGTTGCTGATGGAACAATGCTGCCATCACAGGTAAGCCTATCTTGTCTAGCACATTACCTCATGTTACTCACAATTCAATTACATATAGATTGTCATGAAGGGCTCACTCTGTGGCCAATATCTCCCCTCAAACCGTGCACCTTGCCACGATGAAGCCGAGAGATTGGGTTCCTATTCAGTCTCAATCCCAACAACTACTGGTCCAGCCTTGCGTTACTTGAAGAATATTTCGAGCACATTGTCGTGCCCCATTTTCATCGCCAGATCTCACAACTTGGTTATCCTGACGATCAGGAATGTGTCGTACTTCTTGACGCATGGTCAGTTCACCGAAGTCAAGATTTCCGCAATCTTGTCAGGTCTCGATGGCCCTGGATTTGACTACGGTACATCCCTGGTGGGCTCACAGGCCTTGTGCAGCCATGCGACGTGGGTATGCAAAGGCCATACAAGCACTCAGTCCGACGTTCTCAGCTTCAAGACATCATGGACGAGACTCTGACACACTTACAAAATACGGACATGGACTCAGGTTCCCTCAAACTCGACAACTCCATCAAGACTCTGTGAGATTGCTCCGTTGCTTGGTTTGTCAAGGCCTGGAAAGATGTCAACAATGCAACTCTTATCCAGAAGGTATGTCTGATTCAAGGATCATTTTGGATTTTCTGTTAACCGAACTCAAAAGGCTTTCGAAAATTGTATTGTCCCTGGCCACCCCAGCTTCAATCTCTCATTTGAATCGCTTACAAGTCCCTCAGCCCTTTGAACCATCCGCAATCTACCCAACACCCATCCTGAGTTATGGGACAAGATACAGTCCAACTATGAGTCCGGTCAGAGCAGACCAGGTGCAGCAGCAAGTGCTGACACGGAGGCAACGGAGTCCCCGTTTTCAGACAGTGATGCCACCGCCATTGACACGCAGGCTGAGCCGAGCTTGGTTGGTGCTGCTGTACATGCCGACTTTGGCAATGACAGCGCACTTCTTCCTGCAGAGATAATATCAGAGGTTATTTCAGGCCCAGGAGCTGAAGGTAATCCCTGCGTCTCAGGGCAAGCAGATGAGCTTGAGCCCAGAGACGTTGATATACCTCCGGCGAGTGAGAACGGGCAGCGGAGGCAGCGTAAGACAACTGATTATCGCTATAAAGACTTCGAGGAGCATTAGAGTTAGATTAGAATACGTTTTTTTTACCTATAACTCCTATGTAACCTTTTCTTGTTCAATCCTAGATGTTACGGGTTACAGTTCATTTTTAATTGTTCACATTCAACCGATGTGTTACGCGTTACAAACATCTGGTTGTAAAAGTACAGTAATCATAAGCAAGATGTTGGTCATACACTCTATCTTGATGGTGCCAATATGATATGTTTAGTTAAGATCTTGCATATTGAATTAATTTATGTATAAGTTAGATACCAATAGACTATTATGGCTGACAAATGGTAGGCAATATATAATGTTTGATAAAATATTGATCTTTTCTCTCCAGTGTATTGATTAGTGTCTGTCAGCATAAAATCTTGATTCAGCCCAAGGTAGTTTAATAACAATATGTTGAAGTAACATAATAATTTGATTTACATGTGTCAAGCTTTAGATTAAATCATAATGTAGGTTAATGTTTGAGATTTACTAGCAAATCAACAAAATCAATATGTTGTTGATATGATATTTTCATTATATGCAAAACAATAAATATTGCAATTTCCAGTATCATGACTGCCTTTTATATATTGGTATTAGCAACGTGACAGCAATTGCTCTTGTTTTGTCACCGTTTTGAGCAGAGATAAACCCTAACCAAATCTCTGAATAATGTTCACATGTTGTCAGTGACAATATTTGTGGGAAATGTGTAATTTTGATCACAATTTGATCTCATATTGATCAGGGCAAAACAGGAATATGTACCCAGTGACAGGCACAGTGCCAATGCACTTCGCTGGTGAGATCATGGATAAGGCCAACCTCAATGATGCCATCCTGCACGAAGCCAAGGGCCACAGCATACTGTGGGCCAAGCTTGATGGTCTTGAGAGCGTGGTCATTGCCTGATGCAGCTGTTTGAGACTGGAAGTGTGTGAGGGATAAAACAGAGAGCATGCCCATCCATAATCTCTCATAGGCAGAACTTTATAGTTTACAGAAGATATAAACAGTGAACTCCGGCATTTGATCCAGGACGGTGTTGGTACAAGGCTTACCTCCAGACGTTGATGATGCAGAAGTGACCCTTCAGGAGGCGCTCAGCATTGTCCCCCATGTGGTCACGGACACGGGCAATGGTGGCCTCGGTTGTTTGGTTTGGTCAACGTGGACATATTGCACGCTGATCCGGATTGACACGCTCTTGACAAAACTGCGCAGGCCAGACAACAAGATGATCCTCACCAAGGCACATCTGTTTGAGAGTTGGGTGTACAGGGGTATTGGGAACCTGTCCAAGGCTAAGGTGTGTTCCCTTCATTTCTGATCAGTCACGCCCCTCAGCAGCTTACAGTGCATTGTGTTGCATGCAGGCCATGCTTACTTCAGCACAGACTGCCGCTAACTCAAGTTACTGCCCACTCCATCTCCAAGCTGCGCTCAATCTGCAGAGCAGCGTGCTCCACGCCAAGGATAAAAACTACATGACTGCTTACTTGTACTTCTTTGAGACATTCAAAAGTCTGTCTGTTCAAGGCAAACCGACCACGCTCAATGCACTCAAGTATATGCTTCTTTGCAAGGTCATGCTCAACCTTGTGTGTCTTCCCTTTACTTTGCTTCAAACTGTGTTCAGGGTGGCTCCCCTTACCACCCCTGCAGCCTGAAGATGTGACATCCCCCTTGAGCATCAAGCTTGCTGTCAAGTATGTGCAACTGCACGAGATTGAGAGCATGCACGCAATCACATTTGCGCATCAGAACCGCAACCTCTCTAAGTTTGAACACATCCTCCGGGAGTACAAGGACAGTGTGTATCTCCCTTCATCCCCTGCCACTCTATACCATCATCTCACTGATCCTCCCCATTTGCGCCAAACAGAACTGAGCTTGGACCCCACTATTTGCTCACATCATGCAGTGCTATACAACACCCTTCTGCAACAAATTATCCTGCAGATTGTTGAGCTGTACTTGGTTGTTGAGTTCGACTACCTTGCAGAGCAGGTTGAAAAGGGCCAGCAGGAGGTCGAGGTGAAGTGTTGCAGATGATCCTTGATAAGATGTTCTACAGCGTGCTTGGCCAGGGGAGAGGGTGCTTGTTGGTGTTTGACGAGCCTGAGGTCAATGTGAGTCCCATTCCTCTTATCCCACTCTTGGGTTTGTTGGGACTTTGGCGCATGCCAATTGTGTACGGGTGTACAGAACTCGTATGGAGCAGGGATCAAGATGCTGGAGCAAGTGAGCAATGTTGTGGAGTCATTGTACGCTAAGGTAAGTTTGTTTACTCACCACTGCTGGCAATTTGTATCACAGATTGCTGATTGTTCTTGTTTGTTCTGTGTACAGACTGTTACTATGGCATAGACACATTCAGCTGGTATCATCTGCTTTCTCTTGGTATCATGCCAGTTATCAACTGTTTTGCAATTACAATTATTATTTCCTACAAAGCTTCTGAGCTAGGAGCAGTTTCTTCTGAGGCGATGGATCTCTAGGTGTCACAGCCACCTATTCCACATGATACGTGGCAATTTGGGGTACATATCCCACAATATAATTCATGATGAACAGATAGAAGATATTTGAGGTCTTTCATGGCTGCTGCACTTGCTGATGTGCTTTGACTCATGGAGGTTCACCAGCGTGGACAAGGATGTGTTGAGTCTTTCAAGAGCAAGATTTTTGAACTCAAGGTGCGATGGCATGATATATGCATGCAGCTCGAGGAAAGAAGATGGACCCTTGAGTGCGCAAAGCATCGGTGGATGGTGTGACCTTGCCAGGCAAAACCACTCCGGCCCAGGACATCTCACGCACTAGTGTGGCTAGCGTGGCTGTACTTGCTGTTGAAATGTCGACCCCCAAGCCAATTGCGCGCGGGCGTCTATGTCAATTCACTTTATATACCACATAAGGGGATTGCTCTTCTCCCTTTTGCATTGCAATCACCGCCCCTGCACAAGGTATGTGGTCAGTATGTCAAGTTCCTCTTGCTAGCTGACCCCAGTTTCCATAGCCTTACCCTACGTTAAACACTTTGCACAGGTGAGATATCCTTATTCCTCTTGTGTCCTTCATCCATGGTCCACTTTCTTTTTCTTTTGCTTTTGTTTTTGTTTTTGTTTTTGTTTCATTTTTCATTTTTGGTCTGCATTCCTTTCCTTCTTTTACCATAATCCTTTGGCTGGCCAAGACTTAGCTTCACTGTCCAGCTCAACAAAGCGGTAAGTTACTCAACAGTCTTCCTCTCTTCACGTTGTCTCACGCATCCCGTGCTCCACAGGGCTCACTCTCCCCATCCTTGGACATTGCCATTGTCACCGGCCTTGACTTGTGTACATCTGGCACCGGCCCCAACCCTTTGCAAGGGATCAGCTATGTCCTCTCCAGTGGTCCATTCAGCCCATTGCAGTTGGATGACCCCGCTCTGCCCCTGAGCCAGAACATTGCCGTCCAGATCCCGCTGGCATATTGGGGTGGCCAGTACCATTTTGCATGCACACACCTTTCGCTCATTGGGGTGAGTAGAGCCCAGCTATGACCACCACATCTCCATGCCATACAGGTGGGACAACCTCAACCCCACAATGCTCGCTTGAGCCACCCGTGAGCACAATGGAGGTGCAATACCCATATTCCCATGGGGGAACTTGCAAATTGGTACATCTAGGAAGTCTATACCCTGCACTTTGAGCATGATTCCAATTCACGGCTAACACACCCCCTTTTCAATAGCCCCTCGCAGCTTGAGCATTTGGCTCTGCAGCTGTGCAATCTCCTTGTCTTTTGCCGCAAGCACCATCAGTAGCTCCTCAACCTCTGCATGTCCCTGTGCGCGTTGCTGGTGCTGAGCACACTCCATTGCCCCATGCTTGCGATGGTGCTGGCCCTTGCTCAACAATGCACCCAATATGTGCTAGCTTATCTCACGCTTGCGCTCTAGATATGTGCGTCAGCAGTGCACACAGTGCACCCGCGCTCGCCTTGTCCATGATACTGCACTCAAACAACTCCTCACACAAGCACTTGACCTTTCCCTTGAGCTCTGCAACACACTTGCACCATGCGCAGACTTGCTACTGCTGCTTGTCAGCATCCAAGAGCTAGGACTGGAGCAAGTGCACAATCTCATTGCGCACGGGAACTGGTGGAGCGTGAGTTGGGTGCGGAGGGAGATGATTTGGGAGTGTATGTTGGATGCGGACAAGAAGCCTGAGTTGCTGCATGAGTGGATGTTGCTGGAGGAGTTGGAGGGGCTGGAGGTGTGCTCCATCACTATCATTGCAATAGGGCTGACAGTTCAATGTCAAAGGTAGACATTAGACATGCTGCCGTTGTATATATACCCTCCTGCATTTTACTTGATATCTGTCACATGTTCATACAGTTTTTGTTCTATCTTGTTTAGCCACATTCCTTTGTTTTGTTTCATATGTTTTGGTGTCTCTTCCTGCCTGTCACCATTCCTGTCTATGATACCAGGGCTTGTCAAAGCCCACTTATACTCTACAATATGATCCATGCATCTCAGTGTTCACTCTCTTGTGTGGAATTGAAACCAATGGTTGGACCTTGGTGGCTAGAGTACCACATGTGTTGCTCTACTCATACCTCTGTGATCCCCTTTGCAATGAAAGACATGTTTGCACACATCCAGTATGCACCTTCACATGAGTACCTGCAGCACTGTTTCATACATTGTACAGAACATGTTTGCAGACCAAATGCACAACTATAGCAGTTTTACTACTTAATCTTATTTGCCTGCTCCTTATACATATATATGAACACAATTATCCATATTACTGTCAATCATACTGACCTGTTTTTTTTTAATTCTAGAAGAGTCAAGCTGCTATCATGGCTCATGAATGCAAAACACACCATTTACCTAACACCAGCAAAAGCCATGAATCTAAATGTAAAGCTCAATATTACATCAAGATTCCCATTGTCAATAAAGAAGTGATGGTGAAGATCAACAGTGTGAGGAAACTTGTTTATGTGATCACACAACATGCAAAGAAGGCTATGCTAACATTGAAACACTCAAAATCCATATGCACCCATCAATCAACAACCATCACCTAGGACAGTTGTGTAGCAAAGGTAAGTGTACATTAAGCTTATTTACCCATCGCAAAACTTACACTTCATATAGAAATGTTTCCTTGCTAACAGTGCAGTGCTTCCAGACTATGATCCCATCTGTAGAGAGCCAGTCAAGCAAAGGAGGGATGGAGGTGTTTGTACTCTTGCCAACATTATGAAAAACAAATACTGAGATATCTATTGCAGCAGCAGCTTTGCCCAACCCTCTTATTGCACTTGCCACCCACACTGCCCCTGTCAATCCTGCACCCCACGTTGATCAAACTCCTGCTGTTGCTGCCACTTCCACATCCACTTTATGTTCACTTTCACTGCTGCTGCTGGTGCTGCAGGTTACTAGTAATAACAGTGATGATGGTGATCAAGTAATGATGGAAGTGGATGATGCCCCACTCCAGGTATCCAGGACAGAGCACCAAACCAACTCCATAGATGACACAGCACCTGAGAATATCCAGACAGCTACTATAGCAGAGAATGAGACAAGCCCCTACATGGGTCAAGTAGTCCTTGGACAGGTAAGCACAATTTATAAGTATTTACTATTGACTAATACTTATTTAGACAATAACCTATGTTGATAAAATGTACTGCCATCCCTACTTGACTCAGTATCAACTGGTTATCTACAAGGAGCTGGACCATTTTTACTGTCAAAGGTGGCCAAGAGTGTGTCAAAAGTCAAAACTTGGCAGGCCATACCAAGAACCAGCATGGTTATTCCTGCTCTCTCCTTAAAAAAATATTCTCATGGAAATCATGAAGATAATGGAATGAAAGGGGAGATTGGACCAATTACAGACTATTGTTATCCACCTTTCCCATTCAGGGGACTTGCTGTTCATTCTGGTTTTATGTGTATCTTTGAAGCTTGCAGCCATGGAACTATAGGGACAACAAGCAACCATTTTACTGGGAACCACCAGGGATACACTACAAGAAAGCTGCATCTTTATAGTGGTACAGTAAAATAGCTGCCAAGCTCTTGATCATGCTCTCATGAGCATGTCAATTCAGCTACATAATCCATCTCCATTATGACTGTAAACAAGCTCTTCAACAACTCAAGGAGACTTTGAGTTGTGAAAGTTCCCCAGGTGTCCTTGCTGAAGCAATTCACAATGCGTTCATCTAGTTATGGACAACAAACTGGAGATGCAGCACAGAGGATCAATTTTCAGATCCAACAGAAAGGCTCTGTATCCTACTTTCTCTCAGAGAAGAAAGTGCTAGAGGCACAAACCAAGTCACTCAGACTTTTGCAAGCCTCAAATATTGCATCTGTTACACCTTCCCCAAAGAAATCAAAAACATATCTCCAAGTCAATTTGACAGTGACAATATCAAGGCTTGTCAACATGTTCAAAAATGGTTTACTGAAGTCAATCCATCTACATTTAGCCACATATCAGGTCTGCAACACTTGGCCTCATATTTGGAATTGGCAAAAGAAGGGGGCACACACCTCTTTTTTACAGATGCAGTTAAGCAAGATGAACTAGTCTGGGCAGATGGAAGTAAAGTACACCTCACCCGGCTGATAAAATTGGTTCACCAAACTGAAGATGATGCTGTGCAGCAATGCCAGGAGACAGATTTTCTGGGGCTTAACATTGCTGTTGAATATGACAAATTGAAGGATACATTGAGGAATTCAGACTGGGGTTATTTATTCCTGACAGACCCCCAAAATAATGCATTCAATGATCAAAAGATTTTGCTCAATGCATTATTGAACAATCCAGGGTTCTTCCAAGAGTTTGGGACCATAAAGGAGGATGGGACAATTGGCTGGAAAGAAACCAGATTATATCAGTGGCTGCAAGACCTGGCACAGTTTGAGAACATATTGCTTCTGAGAGTAGCAATGATATCAGGCTCTCCAACTTGAGAAACTGAGCTTACAGCAACAACATTCACATAGAAACCTTTTTATT